CAACTTTCCAATGATTGAGTTTGGTTCATGTTTTAACATGTTTAAACTAGACACCATGGCATTCAAAATTTTGAAAAAGGAACCATTACTCATCATAACTATACACTTCGATTTAACGTATTTTCACTACATAATCATTATAGAGCCCCGCCCTAACATCAGAACCAGATCCTGGGGCCATAAAATTCAACATTTTTAAAAGAGGCATTCTTGCTCATCATATAAATGTGCTTAGTTAGTTTATGTAATACCCAGGAACAGAGAAGAAGACTTTCAAAGAATTGATGTATTTTCACTATAATCAATAGAGCCCCGCCCTAACACCAGAACCCCTGACCCAGGGGCCATAAAATTCACAATTTTGAATGAGGCATTTTTGCTCATCATTATTAAATACCTAGTTTATTAAATACCAAGGAGCAGAGAAGAAGATTTTCAAAGAATTAATGTATTTTCATATATAATCTATATACTTAGTCACTTTATATATACTTATACCCAGGAGCAGAGAAGAAGATTTTCAAAGAATTAATGTATTTTCACTATATAATCAATAGAGCCCCGCCCTAACACCAGAACCCCTGACCCAGGGGCCATGGAATTCACAATTTTGAATGAGGCATTCTTGCTCATCATAACTATATACTTAGATAGTTTATTGAATACCCAGGAGCAGAGAAAAAAATTCCAAGTTCCATGTATTTTCACTATATAATCAATAGAGCCCCGCCCTAACACCAGAACCCCTGACCCTGGGGCCATAAAATTCACAATTTTGAAAGAGGTGATCTTGCTTATTATAACTATATACGTAGTTAGTTTATTTAATACCTAGGAGCAGAGAAGAAGATTTTCAAAGAAATAATGCACTTTTTACTATATGATCTATATAGCCCCACCTTAACCCAAGAACCCCTGGCCCTGGGGCCATGAATTTCAAAATTTTGGTAGACGACTCATTGCTGATTATCATCATGCCAACAGTTTGACTGCTCAATGTCCAGGAGTAAAGAAGAAGATTTTTAAAGATTGCATTAATTTTGGTGGTTTTGGCCCCACCCCTCAGCCCCCAGGGGGGCAGGGGCCATGAATTTCACAATTTTTGTTCCCCTTTACCCAGAGATGCTGTATACCAAATTTGGTTGAAATTGGCTCAGCCGTTCCAGACAAGAAGCTGAAAATGTTCAAAAGCTTACGACCGATTGACGACGAACGACGACGGACGAAAACAGATAGCAATAGGTCACCTGAGTGACTCAGGTGACCTAAAAATGCTATTCCACTTTATAACCAGTTGTGCACCTCATATGAGCCCAAAAGAACCACTGATCCTGGGGCCACATATTTCAAAATTTTGCAAATTTTATCATAAAATAGTTGATTAATACCAAAGAGCAGATTTCAAAGCATTAATTTATTTTCAGACTCTGTACCCCTCCCCACCCCCGACACAGGGGGGGGGGGGCATAAAAAATAACCTTTAATTTTGCTAGATTAACCTTTTTTCATCATAAATATGTATACTTGGATCATTGGCATAAAACCCAGGAGCAAAGGAGAGATTTTCAAAGAATTCATGTATTTTCACTATATACCCGGTAATCAATAGAGCTCCGTCCTAATACCAGAACCCATGACCCTTGGGCCATAAAATTCACAATTTTGGAAGAGGCACTCTTGCTTATCATAACTATGTACTAAGTTTATTTAATACCCAGGAGCACAGAAGATTTTAAAAGAATTAATGCATTTTCACTATATGATCAATAGAGCCTCGCCCTAACACAAGAACCCCTGCCCTGGGGCCATAAAATTCACAATTTTGGAAGAGGCACTCTTGATCAACATAACTATTTATTAACATAGTTTATTTAATACGCAGAAGCAGAGAAGAAAATTTTCAAAGAATTAATGCATTTTCACTATATGATCAATAGAGCCCCGCCCTAACACCAGAACCCCTGACCCTGGGGTCATAAAATTCACAATTTTGGTAGAGGCACTCTTGCTCATCATAACTATGTGCTTGGCTAGTTTATTTAATACCCAGGAGCGAAGAAGAAGATTTTCAAAGAAATCATGCATTTTCACTATATAATCTATATAGCCCCGCCCTAGCACTAGAACCCCTGACCCTGGGGCCATGAATTTCACAATTTTGGTAGAGGACTCAATGCTCATTACATTCATGCCAACAGTTTGCCTGCTTGATGTCCAGGAGTAAAGAAGATTTTTAAAGATTGCAATAATTTTAGTGGTTTTGGCCCCACCCCTCAGGCCCCAGGGGGGCGGGGACCATAAAATTCACAATTTTTGTTCCCCTTCACCCAGAAATGCTGTATACCAAATTTGGTTGAAATTGGTTCTGTGGTTTCAGAGAAGAAGCTGAAAATGCTCAAATGTTAACACACGACGCACGACACACGATACACGACGACGGACGAAAACGGATAGCAATAGGTCACCTGAGTTACTCAGGTGACCTAAAAATTAAAACTGCCTTCCTTCATCCCTTTTTTCTGAAATATTATGCATCGTTGTACATTATTTTTTGGATGTAGGAAAATAGAATTTATGTACATGTATACGTAGATTGAGATTCCCGTAGTGCATGTAGTGCACATGGGGCTATTTTTAGAAAGGCGTAAAGAATCATTGCTGCGAATCGTCGTGAGATGTCTTCAGCTCTAAAAGAACAGATCTTGCGCCTTAATGATGAAGGTAGAAACAAATCTGAAAAATCCAAAATTACGGGATATAATCGCACCACAATCTTCAAGTTTTTGAAAAGTTTATCTGTACGGCAAAGTGTCACAAATAACCGTAATGGTGAAATCCGCCTAATATATATATCGTTTTTGGAGTGTATCTGCTATTCAGGAGTGGGCTTTCGTACTCTAATAGATGGAAATTTAAACACAGATAAGTACATCACACTTCTGGACAATAATTTGTGGCAAGTTGTTGCGAAACAATTTAGTAACAACTCCTGGATATTTCAGGACGATAACTGTCCTGCCCACATGTCAGCCTGGTCTAGAGAATTGGAACACCTAAATGATATATCTTGTTTAGAGTGGCCATCTCAATCACCAGACCAAAATCTCATAGAAAATGTATGCAGATCAAATAAACTTTCAAGGGAGCAAGATAACATCGAAACAAGACAAGAACTTGTTGACTGTGTTCTGCAGATCTGGACGTCCCTCACACCAGTGTACATGTATACATGGTTTATACGAAATTAATATCAGAGCTCCAGATAAGGTGCGTATTTGTAGAAATAAGGATTAAATTTTACAAAATAGAGCGTACGATTACGCATTAGCAATCATAGATACGCATTACACCACGAAAGTACTGCGTACAAGTTGGAGAATACAGGTACGACTTACTTAATGATACGAATTGAGGTTAACTCAGTGTTTGATTTTTCTCAAAACAAAGTACAGAATTAAAAGCCTTTTAGTTACTAGGAATATTCTAGTAATGACGACGACGATCTCCATTTCGGGAGAAAGAATCGGAGATTTAGGTTAAAATAAATTTCCATGTAGAGAGACTATGCACTAGGCGTAACCTTTTTTTATTATGGGTTCATAGCCATTTTTCATCTCTCTCAACTTACCATATTAACGAAGATTCTTTCAGTTTACTCTTGATACGATATCTTAAATGAAGGAAAAGTTATCTGTGTCTGATAGTGTACCTTGACCTACTGTATAATCTTCCTTGTCAAAAAAGAATGCTTCCCAATCTTAGTCAAAAGTCTTGTTGTTATTTACAAAATTTATTTAAATAAATACAGGAACTGACCTTTGAAGTTTTTTCCCTCTTCAAAAACTCATACTTCGATTACAAGCTCAAAATAAAGGCCAAAACATTTCTATATAAACAAAATACTCTTCAATCATTTTGCTGAAAATCAAAATCTGCATTGATTTGAAAATTAGGGAGTAAATACACTTTGGGGTAAAAGATTTTCTGGAGCTCTGCGAAACCTTACCAAACAGACTAAATAGTGTAATTAATGCTAAAGGTCATGTCACCAAATACCTAACAAGACGCCCATGGGTTACATCGTTTTTTTATCACTTGAGAGTGTCACTATATCAATAAAGCATACACGTATAATTTTGCCATACTTAAAGATTTTCCTATATATATTTCTATATAAAAATTTGATTGCCCATTATAGCGACACCTTATCCCCGCTTGAATTAACTCTAACTGAGATGTTTCCATATTAATTTCATGAATCATAGCTTTGCTGATCTTGAGAAGATTTTAAAAAGATTTTTCCTATATATTTCTATGTAAAACTTTGATCAGCCATTGTGGCCCCGCCCTATCCCCGCGGTGATGAGTTGAAGAAACTTGAATCTACACTACCTGAAAATGTTTCCACATGAGTTTCATCTTTCCTGCAACAGTGGTTCTGGAGAGGAAGATTTTAAAAAGATGCCATTAATTTTTCATTAATTCATAATTATCTCTCCTTGGAAGAGGGCTTGGACCTTCATTTGAAGAAACTTGAATCCCCTTTACCCAAGGATACTTTGTGGCAAGTTTGGTTGAAATTGGCTAAATGGTTCTTTAGAAGAAGATGAAAATGTGAAACGTTTACAATGACAACGACAGGTGAGCTAAAAAGTCAGAAGTCTGTAATCAACAATAATGAAGTAAGTGGATTTTCTTTAACATTGAATTGTAGTACTGAGCAAGATTGACATCATGATAACGTGAAACACTTATGGCACCACACTATATATACTGGAGATTTGATAATTTCCCTATGCATATACATCAAAATGCTTTTACATAATGTTTGTCTATATTTCTAATGTTATGGGAAAGTGACAATGATTGTTCTGATGCATTTTACCCAATTAATGCTATTCACCAAAATTTGTATAGACCTTTTTAGAGAAACTGTAAATGTTAAGAAGTAAATGGTGAAACAATGGTTGGGTAACAAAAAATTGAAATAAAGCACATACTTTTCGAATCAAAACGTGATTTTTCCTCTTTCATTTTTTGCATTATACACTTTTGATCCTCTGGAAGTATAGCTTGTGTCTTCGCCGGGAAAAACCAGTATGTAGCAAAGACTATGTCGATTGAATGATTGTACATTTGATGACTTGGAGAGAGCATTGTTGGTGCCAAAGTTCCGGTGGACAGCAGTCTTTGAATTCCATCGTTGTCGTGGGGACCTACATGACGTTTTTTGTTCATATGCTTTAAATATGAATCAATGGTGTAATTTGTCCTAAAATGTTCCTTCCTCACTTTTCTGTCAGGGTACTTATCCATATATATTTGGAATTTATGTCTTTGAAATTGATTCCAGTTGATGGAATTGTTATCCAACGATGAACTGAGAGCCTCTTCTACTGGATTCAAATATTTATATTTCTTGGTGAAGATATTCATCTACAAAAAAATTAATATACTGTAAATCACTTTTTATTCGCAAGAAATTTATTTTTGCGTAATTACGCGAGACAATGCATTCGCGAAAATTATATTCTCGCGTATAAAAGTATTCCTCACGATTATATAGAGGAATAACAACTATTCGTGAAAATTATGTCTCGCTTACTTGTCAATGACAATCTCGCGAAAATAAGGTGTCGCGAAAATTTAGTGATCTACAGAATTGATAAGCACAATGTTTTACCCATAATCAAGATTATCTCCTTCTCCCTTTCTCTTATATTTTTATAATTACTTATAATGTAAATTTAACTTCGTTTTAACCGAATTTTTCTGTATATCGTTTACCTTTTTTTGTATTGATTGATTCCTTTTTCTTTTCGTTTCTGCATTTTTTATTAATGTTTCATACACATCTGGATAGGTTTCAATGTAGTGAATGGACTCTTTTGTAGTATTTATCCAGTGCTTGTGTTCGATGAGTTTTCTGTCACCTGTTATAAAATATATTTATTATTAGGTGTCCCTTCATTTATTTATTTGAAATTTTGAGATTTAATAAAATTCTGTTAATGTATATTAAAATACTCCATTAAAATAAAGAGATGAATCATTTATAACTGATTGCTTTTTCCTGTTATTAATTAATGTATGATTAACATCCCTTTCAAAAAGTCTTTATACTCATATTAGGACGCCATCTGGTGGAAAGCTACAATTTTTAGACCTATGGGGTTCATTTATTCTAGGCGTCAAGGGGCATTGAGCAGTAAAGGATCTTTTTCATACTAGAACCTTTTGCGACAGGAGAATTTGGTTCATATCGTCTCATTCGAAGGACTAGTCTTCATGTCCCGCAGTGGGATTCAAACCCGCGATGTTGGGACCAACTGTTTACTCGAGAGACTCTAAAACCGTCACTGAAGAGAAAAGGATGCATGTGACCTACATATAAGAATAATTCTTGTACTGTTTTGCATGCCATCAATTAACAAACCTGAATAATAAATAGGGATTCCACGTGACGCTATATGTTGATTCTTCGCCAGTAGTTTCGAAAATCCTTCAGAATTGAAACGTAGACGACAAAAATCAGACCTGCTTTGCTCATGAATGTTTGTACCTTAAATACATAAAAACACAGAATATGACTAAACAAATATCCACTTGTACACATTTAATACTATTTAATTTTTTTATTTCAAGTATTTAATAAGTACACAGTCACACCTTTCACAAATTTAAACGACTCTGCTTGTCCTTCATGTTTTTCACAATCAGATATCCAATATAAATAGACGTCATTTCCATACCCGTCCATGCTTATTGTCAGGGGAGAGGATTGTGCACCAATCGTATCCAAGATAGGGGATCTGAGTAGACTCTTGCTACCTCTACCATCTAAAATGGTAGTCTGCAATAGACATTATTATCAGTTTTAATGAATCTCTAGTACATGTAAATTTAGCTTAGATTGTCAAAAGTTTGAAATATAACTGATTTTTATTTACATTACTTCAATTTGATTAAAACGCGCTATAAGTTAGATTAATAAAATATGAACCATTCACTAAAGAAGGTCCCCGGATGCTGAAAAACAATATAATCAAAACAAACGTTAAATATTAAAGAAAATATGTAGAGGTACCTTCTCCTTTGAAAACTTTTCTATTAAAATGTATGACTCGGTAACTAATAGTTTGACCGTTAAACCCACCTTTATTTTTATATTTCTTCCCCACAGCTACATGTATTTTGTGTCCGAGATGGTTAATTAGTAAAGCTCAATTATGTATTAATGTATCATAATGACCTAGAAAAAATCTCGAGAGGGACATAATTAAACAACATACAAACAAACACTTAAATCGTGACGGTAGCTTATTCAGCAGAGCACTCGTTCCGTGTTCGGAAGGTCGTGAGCGTATCCAAGCCGCGAAAAAAAAATGGAAAACAACTTATTCATTTGCCATGCTCTCTGCACTTGAAGTGAAAGTTGTGGATCCTTCGGATGAGATCTATCATCTTAAAAGCCGAGGTCCAGCGTCACAGTAGACGTTGGTGCGCTAAAGATCCATCACTGCTAAATGGCCAGAAGTGCCAAGTAAAGGTCAAATTTTGAAGCCCTACACCTGTATATGGTGATGTCTATATGAGTGAAATATTTTCGAAAAGAACGCAAAACAACACACAATCAATCAATCAATCAATCACCTACTAGTATATAGTACAGTAATATAATTATATCCATTTCCCGACTTCTTTAACACTCAAAAAGATGCCCCGAATGCAATAAAATTGAAAACCTAGGCTATCAACTGAAGTTGATGTTACAGGGACATCAACAATTTCCTTTAAAATCAGCATTTCGTAAATGTTATGAACATTTTTTTGACGTTGGTAACAAACATTATACATTATGGGTCGTATTTTGGCATATGTATTTCAATCCAATGCTTTGCATTTGTGTTTTTTTTTTACGTGATTACCTGATCCCAACCCTGAAATACACGGGTTTTCTAGTTTTCTTCCATGTTTACAGATTCTTCAATGTTTTGTCATACCTCTGAGTAATAATATAAAGGAAATCCTGGTCCATGGGCAAATTTTACAAGAAAATCCGGTGTATCATCGTTGTTGTAAAAGCCAGGAGCAGGTGTACTACAAAAAAAAATGAATTTTTAAAATGAACATTCATGCACACTTCTAACTTTTATGTCTTTTCCTTATTACAGGGATAACAAAAGATCATTTCGACGCACACCAGTACAATCAGATGCTCCTTGCAACAAGACAGTGACAAACACAATATGATTGTTATGACAGTTGTATGTTATCTGATAATATTTACTTCGACCGACGCATTTTTAACGTTTGACACTTTGTGTAAGGATTCTATTTTTACTGTAAACCAACTATTATTCATGTCATCTTTTCGCAATTCCACAGTTGAAATGGATCCTCGACGATTAATTTTTGCGACTGAGGAAACATTCTCAATATGCAGCTTAATACATGGTTCGTGGCGGTTTTCAGAGGAATCAGAATTTAAGCTTTTACCTATAGCTCCCTTTCTAAGGAGGAAATTCTTCAAAATCATTTGTCAGTTTTGAATATTTTTATATTACTAACAACCAGAATAAATTTGAATTACCAAATCTATATTGCATTCCAAAACTTCTAAAGAAAACTTACAAACAAATATACATAGCGGGTTCCAGTAAGTCCATGCTTTTTTATACAGTGAAAACTGTCTAATCCGACACCTGAATAATCTGACACACTGTGAATTCCGACGTTAGATGTATTTCCCATTTTAGTATTTTCTTTGTTTTCAACTCTGTGCAATCCGACACCCTGTCTATTCCGACACAAAATTTATCTCCCAGTGTCGGATTAGACAGGTTTCACTGTATATCAATCTACAGCTGCCTTTTCAATAAAAATGGAAAATTTTTCTTGTCATTTGCAAAATTATTTTGTTAAAAACATTCTAATTGTACACACAAGCACTCCCAAGTTGGTATTAAAAAGATGTTTGTGTTTCTGATTGACAAGATCTTTGTGGTTTTTGGAAACCAGGTCCTCCAACAATCTAATTAACTTCCCAAATAGCAGACAGATTGTGAAAACAAGAATATCATTCAGTAGTTTTTTTAAGTCACCATTTCTTAAGTCTATGGTCAATACAATGACCTTACAGCTAATACAATTATCATTAAATCAAATGATAACACGAGTTTTTCCTGCTATTTTTAGACCATTATATACTCACTGAATTATCGACAGATTTTTCCTTTATCATCCCTTTATCTACGTTCTGACGAGCAGCATTCCATATATATAAGTTGGTTATTCTTTCAATGTTATTTATAAGTAAAGAATAAAGAGTATAATTAATTTATATTCGGACGAACGAAGTGAGGGAGAATATAATAAACATTATTAAAATACCACTTTTGACCAGGAGTTGAATAGTTTAGTGGTTAGCCTGTGAACATTGAAGGCAAAATATACTGAGGATTTTATTGCTAGTATTCGAACCCCACGAATAAAACATTTAAATAAAAGAATAATTGTTGCTGAAAAAATTTCTCAAAATTGTTTACTGTGAAATCACAAATTTTCGTTGAAGCTTAATTTTCGTTGTTTTCGAGGTATGGGGAGACCCACGAATTCATGTCCACCACGAAATGTAAAATGTTATATATATAAGTACTCATTAATTCTTGATCTATGAAATCAAATCCCCACGAACCAAGAGATTTTTCTCAAACAACGAAAATTTGAATCCACGAAAATATGTGATTTTACAGTATTCATCAAAATTTCATAAATTTCAATGATGAGATCTTATATGGACAACAACTTCTTTCCTTACTTGTACGATTCGGAAGACGGAAAAGTAAAATTCCAAAGCTGAGAGTAAGTTTTTCCATCAAATGCTATTACAAAGGAATTGAACATAGACATGATGATATCTTCCTCACCGTCTCCATTCACGTCAAGTAAAACAGGCGGTGTCATCACACCCTTTTCTTGATCAAAGAAAATACAAATTGCCTACAATAAAATTTTATATATGTTAAAGAAAAAGTTTACGAATAGTGAAAGTACAAGCATTTATATTTCCATTGATTTCGAAATAAATGTGTATGAATTTTAATTAAGAAACATCAAATATCTAGAACTTTTATGCTATATTTAAAAAAAAATGCTTACAGTGTTGTTTAAAATTTTTCTTAACACTTATATGGATTATTTCTCTGAAATTTTTCCTCGATGTTTTCCAATAATTATCCGTTTGAATTACTTTTTACATTAATTTTCATTTTAAAAAATGTAGTTTATTAATATTTTTTACATTAGTAGGTAAATTAACATTCTCCTTTAAACGTGCATGAGCTACTTTTGTGCTATCCACGAAAGATAATGATTAGCTGAATCCAAGAAATTATCGGAGAGTGCAGATTCAAGTACTACAGGTATACATGCATTCCATTAACTTCATGAGACAGCTTGAGGAGGCTCATTACACCCACAGTTTATTCTAGTTTTCATTACAAAATCACTTATAATGTAGATGTCAATTATCCAAAATGGGGGTTATGATATCATACATGTAAATATTATATTTTAGTGAATTTTTTAAAGCTTTTCTCAAATTTTAGTAAATTATTTCATTTCAAGCTTATTATCAATAGAATTGCAGAAATTTCAGTCTCAAGTATAGGGCATCTTCTTTGGACATGTATACAAAATGATAATACTTTATAATATTTAATATTATTTTTATTAGAACAATTAAATAGTTTCCTCATGAAAAATAATTCATGTCATTTTTCTTTTTAATCTTTGCAAGAATAATTTGGAAATTGAGTTCTAAAGAGACAAGGAATGTATTTCAATGAATAAAAGGTGACAAATTGAATGAAGAATGGTTAAAACGAAATGAAAATTCCAATTTAAAAAAAATATTTGGTATAAGAAGTCCACCTGCAAGAGTTAGATTTTTCCTAATTACCCAAGACTCAAAAGACAAAGTAACGTCTGAACATTACATGTACATCTAAAATTCAGAATAAAGCTTTGAATTTCTCGAATTTATATTTCAACAAAGACAAGTATATAAATCAACACAAGTACTGTAAATAATGCAAGTAAATTATTTTTTTTTCAATTTCAGCAAGGTTGTAGATTTCAACTCGAATTTCCTCCTGAATACACGTCAACAACATCCATAGAACTCACCGCTTTCGCTATGACCTATGACATTGCACATTTCTTGTTAAGAGATGATTTGGCTGTTCTTTTTGGTTTTTACTTAAAACAACCATTCTTCTTTTATAATTAATTAATTTATTTTGTTTCCATTCACTGTTTACACGTACCGCATGTTCGATCTTTTTTAAAGCGTTTCAAAGATATGGGTCATATTATACGGGAACCTGTACAATTCGTCCACAGAGGAAAACGGACGATACAATTGATGCTTATTTTTTGTGTAGTACGTCATCAAAAAGTGGTGTTATGAGCCTCCTTAAACAAGTTAATTCACTGGATCTCTTAATGTATTTCTATAAGTCTGCCTTGCTTTCGACTTAACTCTACTTTGAAGGATCGGAAAAGACATTTTGATTGATTTTTCCTTTATATAAAAATGTATGTCCATTCGCTCTAATTCGAAAGCTATCAGTCGCCCGTGAAGGCTGTAATTCAGACCTACAGTGATAAGCATTAATATTAGTGATGTTAACGTTGTCATGTTGTAAATCTTAAATTTACTGCCACCAAGTAAATTCATAATCTACGACATTTAGTGATCAACAGCACAATGAAATGATTTATTATGAGAAATAATGATACTAGTATCTTTATTTTACTTGGAAAACCAATTTACTCCATCATTTTTACTTTTTCCAGTCGGCGATAGAACAAATCATTAATATTGATTAGCCAAAGACCCCCTCCATGTGTCTCTCCTCCTGTCCCGAACATAACAAGTTTTGTCCCGTCTGTTCTAATAAGGACTTGTGGTGAGTAGTAAGATTCTTTTTCATCGGGCACTCCTGACCAGCTGAGAACCTTCCCTGATTTCCCACAGAAGAAGATTATTCGACCAGATAAGCGATGTTGACTACCTGTCCAAAAAAAAAATCGTTAAGCTGTCCAAGAATTCAAAAAGAGTTCGTTGATTGTTTTATTCATTCATTCAAGAGAGAGAGAGAGAGAGAGAGAGAGAGAGAGAGAGAGAGAATGCGATCGTATATTTTCCTAGGTGATTATACCCTAATACTTGAGTTATCAAAAGTCTATCGGAAAAATCTGGGCAAAGGTTGATTTTTTTGTATGTTGTTTTTGTGTATTTTCATTTCCCAACTTTTATGCATATTAAGTTAAAAAAAACAATAATTATTTTATAAGCATTGTCATTAGAAAATCTCTTTGATACATGTATTTGGCTAAATAATAATAATAATAATAATAAATCAACAAGATGTATTTAATTGTGAAACACTATGCATCCGGTGGCAACAATTTCGAAAAAGCTGTTTTTAGCATATAGGTCACAGTCAAAGTCACAAGGTCATTGACCTTGGTGTCATTTGAGTTTAATTAGTAGAGTATGCATGCTAAATATGATGTTGCTATCACGTATGGTTCAAAAGTTATGGCGAAAATTAGAAAAAGTTATTTTTAACATATTTGTCCAGGTCACAAGGTCATTGACCTTAGGGTCATTTGAAAGAACTTAATTAGTTGAGTATGCAAATATGAAGTCTTTATCTCCTGTGATTCAAAAGTTATGGCGAAGGTTAAAAGTTGACAGACAGACAGGACAAAAACAATAGGCGCCTTGGATCTATCGATCCACGCGCATTCACAGGCACTTATTTCGGGAATAAATTTCTAATCCATAGTATAATAATAATAATGTTATTATTATACTATGGGTCAAAAATTTATTACAGAAACAAGTGCCGCGGTTCATCCACATACTTTTAAATTTTGTGCAACTGTCGCAAAACGCAAAATGGAATTGTTACATTCTGCTTTGATATCGAAGAAATTGTAACAACGCAAAATGCAACTAGTGCTAATTGTAACGGGGACCGTTACAGATGTTCCCCAAACGCTCCCGAACTCCCTTTTGGTGCCATATTCCCTGTAAGCTTCATTAAATAATACAAACACTATGCATTTGAGACTTTAACAACGTTTACCCAGAAGTATACGATGTTCATTCAGATT